ATTCTAACTTCTACAAACTAGTGATTTTAGCACAACCGACGACCAGTCAATGTCAACGATGAGTATGTTCTCCACCTTCCCAACCGGGTGGATACCATCAATCACGACTTCTCACTAGAACTCCAGGGAACTTCGTTGTGTAACCCCAGCATCAGATCAATTTTCAATAGTTTAACTTTGTAGATCTACAAGGAGTAAGATAATCAAATACCTTGTCGACACTAGTCATTTCATCACAACAAACCCCTCCTCCTTCAAAGTAATCTACAAAATCAAAAATAATCTGCCAAAGACAACACGCTTCCGTCTCCTGTCCATTCATAAGTGAGGCGTTAGCCATTCCACTCCTAATATCATGGTAACACTACTGTTGACTTCTACTGACTTGATTTTTGGTTATCTTTCTAACTTCTTATAAGTTTCGTATCTCTTTAGGACTCTCAGATAATTCTATATTTCCAAGGGTTGATTTGTTTTCCCAAATTCGACCACGGATTGATTTCAGTTAGAGAACCAATGAAAACCAACAAGGAGTACTAGACAGCTGTCTCACCCTATTTGTTTGTTTATTAGACGTATCACGCAGTGAAACAGTATTATTTGCTGGATGACGAGGTTTCGAACAAAATTTATTGTTCATAATCATCTCATCAATTATAATCACACGACTTCGAAACTTCAGTTTTATAGTTTTCTTTGTTCTCTCCTATTTGTCGTAGGGGTAGTGGAATTTTCCAGATGTCCGCCTGGACCGGTGTTGAATCATTCCTATTACATGTATTTACAGTTAATTCGATAAACAAAGCTTCTGTTATCATTCTCTCCCTCCACTCTGTGACATTAGATTTTAAAACTGTCTGTCATCTTATCCCATCCATCCTATTGTATGGTTGTGTGCAATTGCATGCAGTGAGTGGTGTAGCTGAACTATTCTCTAGATTTCTTATTTTCAAGTATTGGTTTTGTAGGGATTTTGTTTGCTTGCACGGAGGATTTAATCATGAGCTGACATCAGTTAGAGAACCACTGGAAAACCAACTGGGAGTACTGGACAGCTGTTTCGTCCTAGTTTGGGACTCCTCGGTAGCTGAGGAGCAGTTAATCTGGGGTTCTAGTGGGAAGCCGTGACCAGTAGGGTACAGCAGGTCGAAGATGAGGCATTAACTCATCGAAGAAGACATTACGAAGTGGTCGCGCTATGTCGTGAATTGGCAGAAGTTAGAATTCAAGAACCATTGGATCGGGTCCCAGTGGCTCAATGGTCTACGAGCTCGCCTTGTAACCAGAAGGTCCTGGGTTCGAACCCCAGTGGGTGCGTACTGATGAGGAGTCCCAAACTAGGACGAAACAGCTGTCCAGTACTCTCAGTTGGTTTTCCAGTGGTTCTCTAACTGATGTCAGCTCATGATTAAATTTCTCCACAGGATCCTTTAACCGACAAAGCTTGCTTCTAATTGAGTCTGAATACCACTTTTATTCTTGCCTTGTTAAGAATTCCGATGTTCCTTCCTTGTATGTAATTACTACTGATGATTTAGATTTCTTATTGTTGGTGTCGTCACTAATATTATTATTATCATTATTATTATTATCATTACTACCACTATTATCATTATTTATTTTATTTTTACATTTACTTACATATTTCTTGACTAATTTATCCGGGTAATTATTAAGTTTCAAGGCTTTTCTTATGTGTATCACTTCCTGTCTTAGATTTTCCTTGGTACTACTCAGATTTTGTGCTGTCATTTAAACATTTCACCAATCCTATTTTTACTGACGTAGGATGGGATGATCGGAAATCCAAATATCTGTTTGCATGTGTGGGTTTCCTGTAAACACTAATGTTTAACTTCCCATCTTCTTTTCTTTTTACACTACAATCGAATATCGGCAGTTCCCCTTCCTGACTTTCACCCTAGTTTGGGAATCATCGGCAGTACGCACCCACTGCGGTTCGAACCCAGGACCTTCTGGGTAGAGGGTAAGGTCGTTTACCACTCAGCCTTGTAACCGGAAGGTCCTGGGTTCGAACCTCAGCGGGTACGTACTGCCGATGATTCTCAAACCAGGGTGAAACATCTATCCAGCATTCATAATTGATTTTCAATGGTTCTCTAACTGATATCAATCCGTGGTCGAATTCAAAATTCCGTATTTTCTTTCTTTTCTATGTGCATCCAAACAACAACTCATTCACATTAAATTATCGATCTTATTACGTTACTCTAATACACTTATTCAACTCCTACCCCTTATCCATTGACTAATACTGACAACAACTATGATTGTGACAGCTCATCTCTCTTCTTACCACCCTCTTCCATGTAAAAATTTGTATTTTAATGGGATTATACAGTTGAAGGGGAAATGAATTCGCCGAGAAGAGCCTCCTCACTGAACTATGTGTCTTGTTTTCACTCCTTATTTTTTTAGCATACATAAGTTTCTTTAGGTGCAAAACCCTTGAACTCATATAATCTTTCAACGTGTGAAACATTTCAAAACTGATCACCAGATTCTTAGTTAAAAACACAGTTATTTTGTTCAGCGAAGAAATTTCTTTTCAACGACTTCATTTTCAAGCTGTACAGTCGTAATAATATTACAAAAAAAGGTTATTAAGTGGCACTAAATAATTGCTCAGTCAATATACATATATAAGTGATCAGAATAATGATAATTAAAATGTTAAAAGGGGTAGAATTGAAGTGGATGGATTACAAAATTATTAAACATTGTTTTATAAGTGAATTAATACCAAAAATATTTTTAAAAGAAAAATGTCAAGTGTTGTCTAAAGATTTAAAAAAAAAGAAAATTAGGAGTACGATTACGATAAGAATGAAGATGTGAAGTGAAGTGGAAAGAATTCAAGTGGTAAAATAAAATAAAGACTAGAAAGAACATTACTATGACCAAGGTAAAAAAAGGGGTTTGACAAAACGTTTTTGAACACACAATTTAGGTTTGTGTTCATGCATAGCTAAAACTTCGGCTATGCATAAGTGAACAAAACGTAAACTTTTGGAACGATTCGATTTCGCCATATAGATAACTTTGAAAGATGAATCACGTGGGGCTGAATGACCAGACTCTAACAGGTGATCACAAATAGACGAATTCGCAGTTCTACGTTCGCCTTTCATTAACCAAAACGGATAGTGTTCAGCTACACGTTTTCGGAGATTACGCTTACAACGTCCAATATAAACAGCTCCACAAGAGCAGGTAAAAGAATAAATCCACATAGATGTGGACAAAAGCGGTAATCTATCCTTGACGAATTGTCTAATCATGTTTCGGCTGGTAAAAACTAGTTGCAAGTCAGCTGCAGGAAAAGTGAGTTTAACACATTTAGATAAATGATTTTTAATCAATTCAGAAATAGTGTCACCTTTGAATGTAAGACTCATAAACGGTTTTTTCTTTGGTACTGTGATTTGTCTCGGGGCGGGTTCTTTCTTGATGTTACGTTCAATAAACCTTGTAGGATATCCATTGTTAAGAAGATTTGATCGAAGGTTATCTAGTTCACTATCAATTATTTCTGTAGAGCAGATTTTACGAATTCTGGAGCATAAGGAATGAATAAGATTTCTCTTTCTCCCTAAAGGTACCCAACTGTTGAAGTTAGTGTACTGCCCTGTGAATGTTGGCTTTCGATAAATCGACCTTAATAACGTGCCATTCTCTGTTCTATCTAGCTTAACGTCAAGAAAGTGAAACGAGGAATTCGACTCTTCTTCGACTGTGAAAAGCAAAGGTGGGTGAGAACCATTAAATATTCTAAGAAGTTCGGCAGTTGGAGAGTTTTCCTCAAAAACAATGAAGGTATCATCAATATATCTTTTATACATAAACAAACTCTCGATGGTTTCCTTTAGTGGGCCGTTCTCTAAGCTTGCCATGAAGACATCCGCTAAAGCGGTCCTAAAGGAGACCCCATGCCGACTCCATCTCTTTGATTGTAGATAACTTCATTAAATCTAAATTGCATATTCAGTGTGCATCTCAATAATAGTTCTTTAAGATATTCAGTTGGTAAGCCAATGTTCATGCTATGTAAATCAATATACTCACATAGACAGCAGATAGTGTCTACTAGTGGTATATTAGTGAAGATTAGATTCTTAGTTCTTGTGTTCAGTTACCAGCTAACGAACAAAAGCTCTAATCAACTAATGAACTCAAACTTAAAAATCCTTATTCCACACATGAACAACATACTAGACAGTTTTCCTTTTCTAGAAAAGCCACAATCAATAATGAAATTGATGGGATGAAGCTAACTCATGTGCACTTATTTGAATACACAATAAAGACAGTATCTCTCTCTCCCACTGTGGCGTGATGCAGACGCATTGGAAGTGGCTAAAAAATTGAAATCAACATTTCGAGTTAACGGCTAGCTGCATAGACAGAAGTCTTTTTCTTTCTCAAATCCGGATTTAGTTCACGTTGCAGACATGAAATAACCCGATTGGTCAACTTATCTAACCTTGGGCTAATTACCAACCAATCAGAACAATTTATTCTCCTCTCACCTAGTCGAAGTCTAATGTGACTAAGAATGAATAAATATGATGTGTTCTTCCTTAATAAAGGTTCGCTACCAGTTTTTTTTAAACTTTTGTCATCACACCATCACTGCTTTGCAAGCCTGATTTAATATTTACTATTTTTCCTGTGATACATAATTTAATTTCACCAAAACCTGGATTCGCGTTTATACACTGGGACTAACTAAGATTAGTATACAACCGGAGACAAAACCACCTCTATTTATATTGACACTTAACAATTTTACAGGTGAACTACCGTTCTTACAAACCGAAGGAAACAAAATGTCATAAAGAATGTCTTTTAACAAAAAGACACTTCAATCAAAATTCTAACAGTAAAAACATAAGTAAAGTTCAAATGTTTATTTACTAATTGTATTAAAAATTCTGTACACATAATAAGATTTTTCCCAGTAGAGATTCAATCGCTTGTCAACTTGTAATCCCAGAAACCAACACAGCCATATATATTTTTCCAGGGATTGTAAGTGGTGATAATAATTTACGAAGGACAAAACTCTCTGCTCCGCTGATAAGAATTCTGTTAGGATCTGTCCGTGAAGTAATAAAAGACGGTAGTCGGTGAAGTTTTCGTGCTGACCAATTCAATCCCCTATACACACACAAACAGTATGAATTATGCGAAAAGCATGAACATACTTTGAGTACATAGTTTGAATACGAGCTGGGGCAAATAAAGTAAGGTATTTCAGTGGTTGTTTCTTGTAGCATGCTATCCAGAAGCCAATGAGTAATCCAGCACCAAGAGATTCATGCACTAATACTGCAACAGTTAAACGTGAATATGACCATTTATTGGTATCAATATTGAATTTATCCAAAAGCTTTTTAGCCGCATTGTCAACCATCAACAGAAATCTAAAGAAATAAATAGTATAGCGAATAAAAGGATGAGAAGACGAAACATCCAAATGTTGAAAAGAAAGTGTTTACAGGATTTCATCATTAGCTGACATTGGTTAGAGAACCATTGGAAAACCAACTGGGAGTACTGGACAGCTGTTTCGCTCTAGTTTTTGACTCCTCAGCAGTGCGCATCCGCCGCCAGGGTTCGAATCCACGACCTTCTGGTTACAAGGCTGGCAAGCCACTGGGACTAAATCCAATGGCTAGTGCATGAATTCTAACTCCTGTCAATTCACGGCCGCTGGCCAACGTCTTCGGAAGGTATTTGTCCTCACAAACGACCTGCTGCACCCTAATGGTCACGACTTCCCACTAGAACCCCAGGTGAAACAGTATCACAAAAAAAGACAAAAGAATGAAAGGAGCAATACAAAGATGCTTCTATAAAGCTAAACTCGTCACACTAAACAACACCACATGCTCTATAAGCCAGTCTAGACTAAATAAGTACCCTGCTGATGTCATCTCCAACTAAGTTTATAAATTTACGTGCACTTGTTGGAGAAATTACATTGGTGGGACAGAAAGAAGGAGTTCTTATCCTGTTTCTGAGAATATCCCAAAAGAACTTAAGCCTACAGGGAAGCAGATATTCATCACAAACTACAATTACCAGACATCTTGTGAATACGGGTGATTTCATCGAGATTTCCAAATCTTTCAAAATATTTAACAAACAAAGGACAGCAAATTTACTACGATTTTCTGAAGCAATTCCAATCAAATGCTTCAAATCAAACATACTCATACAGAAGGACAGTATAATATATCTCTCACTGCCTTGGTAACTGCATTTTGATTACATTGATTAGTGATCCATATCAGTGATTTCAGCTCATTGAGCAAATTTCAGTCTTATGAACTATAACCTTCTTTGTTTTGTTATGGCTTTATTCCACACCGTATTCTTTGTACGAATATGGAATTTTCAGCATGTGATATCGGTAGCCTAATTTCACAGGCCGACCACTGATAGAGGGTGTGCATCGGCAGGGGATCGAACCCCGGACCATGTGCATGGTCGGCGAGAGTCCTAACCGCTGTGCCATTGACGCTTCTAGAGGTTCTATCTGAACTTATAGGCGAACACTGCCTATTAGATTTTTCTGTTTTCTGGCCACCCCCTAGTCCTCCTCTATTTTGAAAGCATATAAATTGATGGTAACTTAAACTAGGAATTGTAATGCTTATACATCGGATATGTTAATTTTTATAATATTTTCGCTAATACCATTCAAACATTGAAGTATGCTATTCTTACTTATTATAACCAAAGTAATTTCAGGTAGTTTTCAGTTGATGAGGAGAACCTGTGAAATATAACGATGAAATCATTTTATACTGTAGATTAGGTCTTTCTTTATAGAAATTTAATGAGGGAACTAAGTGCATGAAACAGGTATCAAACCATACAACTTCTCACCAATGAATATGTACTTGTAATCTCAAAAATCTTGAAATGAAATGTGTCACTTTAGAAATTTCTAAGAATAGCGAAAATATTGTTAACAGCAATAAATTATACATTCACTGTGACTTATACTAACTTATTGGGTTAAATACCTAATTTTCAACATTTCAATCTTGAATGCAGCAATCGTTCCATTTAGGTCAGTTTTAGCATTCAACTACTGTTATAAGCAGTCAAGCGTAAATGATTGTCGACTGGTAATTGAAAAAGTTTGTACATGCCGATAAATAAGATTCCATTTTCGTAAAAATGTTAGGCGTGCCTCATTAGTTTACGTGCTTGAATTCAAACCACTGAGTAAGGGTTTCAAATCCCGCTTTGCCTACCGAATTTACGACAACTAGATAGAATCATTAAACCTCCAACAGCTGGTGTGTCTCATCGCTAACAAAAACAACATGTAAATGGCTGGTTGACTGGTTTCAGTATAGAACTTTGCACAGAAGTGCGGCAATTCGAGTTGCCACACTCCATTCATTTCACAAAGATACACAAAAGTGAGAAAAAAAGTTTCAGTAAATTTATAGTAAGCACAAATATGAGGGAGAAAGAGGAGTAACATAGAGAAAGATTTAGTGAATAAATCCGCACCACTGAGTACGGCTTTGAACCATTTCACCAATTGTCTCCAGCCGCTGGTTCTTATCATTCCGAAGACCTGAACCAGCCAAGTAGACTACACCTCCCTACGTGGCTGGTTCAGACTGACTGTTAAAGTTTCTACTAGCTATTTCCCAACCAGATCCCATGTCAGATAACATTTCTCATCGAGGAGGGAGATGATTAGTCATGTGTAACACATGTTCTAGCCATCTCAATCGATGTAGCTTCACAACTTCATCAATTGGCCTCCTCTCTTTACTTGACACCCGACGCCGAACCTCAGTTTTACTCACCCCGTTACACCACCTTACATAGGTGTGCGGTACGCACATCCATTGATTGACAGTCGGATATCACGTCTACGCCAGATATGGAGTAAGCTAGAATATCCCACACAAGTCTTTTGTATCCATGTTTATATTTTGTCCACAATCATCCCGTTGAGGTAATGCAACTTCAAAAAAAAGGGGAGTGGTTATCAAGCACTACCAATCCACTCCATATTTTCAAACTAGCTGCTCAAAATGTTCAGAAGACTGTACTTTACCAGCGTCATCTAGGAGGACTATATCATCCCTATATTTGAAGTCAACAAGACTACAACCTGGTAACAAGTCAATCCCTGAGTCACTGAAGTTAGTTAGGGTTAAGTTCAGTAGTACATCTATGAAGTTAAACAGAAAAGAGGACAGTGAGTATCCGTCACCGACACCACTGGTTGTAATTACTTCAGATGATAACTCTCCGTAAGCTCTTACATGGCTAAGCAAGTTCGAAAAAAGTGTCTTGATTAGCGCGATGTACTTTTTCAGGACGGCTCAACATCGTTCTCAATGGCGCACTCTTCATGAATGACAACATCCATATTATTATTCGTTTTGCCTCATATCTCTGTTTATTATTTGTCTTTTGAATCTTTCTCTACTCTCTTCTCTTGCTTTGTGTGCTACAAGGAATGTGGCAATTTGAACTGCTGCACATCGATGCGAAGTTCTACATTGTAACCAGTCAGTCAGTCAGTCTCGAGACGCCCTTCAAGGCTAAAGATTGCCATAGTACCTCTCCGTCAACATATTTGAATGACCCTTTCAGGTTAAGGAATATGGAAATTGTTGAACGCCAATAAGTATGTCTGCGTTCCAGAACCTATTGAAGGATGAAGACATGACCATGACAGTCTCCACGTGGTCTAAAACCTGACCGGTTTTCTCGTGTTTGTTTCTTCCGAGCACCACTTAATCTACGCATAATTATGGGGCGTAAAACTGTAGATACTATAACAGGTAGGCTAATCCCTCAATGATCGTTACAGGAAGACTTGTTTCCCTTACTCTAAACTAGGCTGATTAATGACTTACATCAGTCCAACGGGACTATCTCTGATTCCCAGACGTTGTCAAATACCTTAGTTAACCATCGTCTTTAAATACCTCTGAAGTCATTCTATTAGGTCCTACTGACTTGCCTCATTTCAAATTAAAGACAGCCCTTGTACATTAAGTTACGAACAGAAGACCAGTGTCCACGTCCTACTCTGGTAGGTGTCAGATGGTGGGACGACATGTAAATGCAAGTACTTTTTGCCTTATTTTAAAATACTGTCTCTGATGTAGTAACGTGACCAGTGTCTAACTAACCTTATTAAAGACACAACTCCCCAAATAGATGAGTTGGTTAACGTATTATATTACTTTACCTCTTATTCTTAAACTAGAAGTCTGTGCAGACCAGTGGTATAAAATAGTATTACATCTTAAATGCAAAACACATTTGGAAGTTTGGTAGTCATCGACAGACTAAAACTTCTCAACGTTTTCACCCTATGGGATCATAATTTATGTGTGCTCTAAGCCACCTGGAAATTTCCGTATGAGAGGCCACTCCTCAGGAGGTCGGAATCAAAGAGACTCACCTTCCCATTGGCCTAACAAAACACAGGTTTTTATCATTTAAGATGACAGTTTCGCAGGGTTATGAGTTTGAGTGGTATTGCATGATTAGCACAACGTACTAACATATTTTAATGACTAAACAATACCACAAAAACTCACACTTGACTGAATCCAATATCGTCTTCAGGTCTACAGCAACTATGGGACTCACATGAATCAGTTTGCACAAGAGTACACATTTGATCATCGTACCACTGTCCAAACCTGAAAAACCATCTGACTCTTTCGGATCAATTTGTCCAACCGCAATTACTCTTAATGACTATAGTCTTGACGATAATACATCAATCAAACTAATCCATCTATGGTCACTACAGGAAAATGTCTCTTATAAACTGTGACAACTAGTGACCTACACCAGTCTGCTAGATCCCTTTTTACAGCAGATACTCCTGAAAACTAATGGAGTCATGTAATAATCTTTTCTACTTCGTTTCAAACCTTAAAGCAAAGCTTACAAACATCGTAATCAACACTGATTGTAAGCAGAGGCATCGCACAAAGGACAATACCTATATTTGTCGCAGAAGTCTGGGATAGGCTCTTCTTTCAACATGCGTTACTGGTGGTTGGTTGTCATCAGCAGGAGTATTTATGAGTGTGATGCACGAAGCCTGGGGCATCAATTTATCCAAAGTCGATTATAACTTCAAGAAGGAGCTTAGCTTTCAAATAGAAAAAACGAACAAACACAAATACACTCTTAAACACAAAACGCGTAGTCCAGAAGTAGTGAATTGTATTAAACAAAGTAATTATATACCAAATTAGAGCGCGAAAATAACAGTACTTGACATTCTCTAAAGAAACTAGATACATGGAAATCAATGGGTCCTGATAATCTTCATCCAAGGCTTCTCAAGGAGCTATCAGCTCACATAGCTGGCCCACTAACCACGCTCTTCAAGCTATCTCT